GCCCAGAAGCGCGGCAAATTACGATCCTCTTGTCACATACCCGTACTCTCCACTCCTGGACGCTGCTAAACGCTCAGAACGCTGGTGGATGCTATTGGTCGCTGGTGGACGCTGCCGAAAGGTATGATTGCAACTTAAGTCACTGGGAACACCATCATTATCTTTGCTGCCCTTCCCTTACTGAATAAGATCCCCACCGAACATTGATCACAGGCTTATTTAGCGGTTCTTCACCCTAACGTCTGACTCTGCCTGGTCTATCGCTCGAGTGCTCAGTGTTTCTTCGCCTCTCGCTTCTTTCAACGCTTCTTGAAGGCCCAAAATCGACTGCGGGAGAGTTCTATCTGGGTTCCTTTTTATTCATTACTGGAAAATCAGAAGCACCTGAAATACAACTCTGCACCCCCGCCCTCACACCACGACTTGAATTCGCGGTATGTATTCTTGAACAATCAGTCGCCAAAGTGTTAACATTCCATAGAGTGGGGCAGAGGTAAAAGAGTACGAGCGAGTAGTTTTGTTTGAGTGTTCTCTATCGGAAGGAGATCGTATTACGTATTTGACTTTGTGTACACACCACTTTACGGCTACCAAGCACAGAAGTTGAGGGGGATATTGAACGCTGCCCAAGTGCAATGCAGAGAGTGCACACTTTATGGCCAGTTGAGCCCTGCTTGGCCTTGGCGCGGAAGTATGTCTTATAGGTTTTTATGGTGCTAATCAACAAGGCAAGGTATTCTGGTACCTATAAGCCCCCATAGTACAGCCACTAGAGGAAACGAGTTGCTAAAGGGGAAAAGTTGTCATATATGAATGTGGGAACATGAAAAGTGCAGCAATTCACAAATGAACAAGGCAGGTGTAGGCTTTTAGAGCCCCATTCTCCAGAAAAGCACTTGGTGAGCTATCAAAGATTGCAAAAACGGCGGATAAACTAAAAGCATTCATTACAGGAACAACCTCTTGTGGCTAGTACCGCAGCAGAGCCACTGAAACAATGGGAAAAAGGGATGTTTCTGTGCCATGCGTGGCCGCGTGGTTTTCGGAACACGTTCTGGCCAAAACAGCGCTGGCACGCC